CCCCAGGGCGAGCACCCCGCCATAGGGCATCCCTCCAGCCCCAAAGCCCCCTGCCAAAGGGACCCCAGATGAGAGGGTTTGGGGTTGACCCCTGAGATGTGGGGAAGCCCCACGGCTGCGGGGCCGGGAGCTGGACAGCAGGAGAGCGGAAATGCCCCTGATTTCTATAAGCTTTTCCGCCCTCTCCTCCAATGCCCACGCTGGGGCACGGATTAGCCGGCAGAGCCTCGTTAGGAGCAATTACAGCCTCCGGCGGGGAGGGCAGCAGGAGAAGCCAGACTTAGCCCCCAGCATGTCCCATGCCACCCCCCTCCCCAGCCCCCCGGGGTGGCAGAGGGATGTCACCTGCCCGCAGGGACACCTGCTTGGGATGGGGGAGCTCAATAGTGTCACACCAACTCCTGCCCTGGAACGGGGCTTGAGGCATCTCCAGACCCTTCTCCCTCCAGGAACATCCCAGACCATCCCTCCCCAGCACCTCTGGACGCCTTGCAGAACCAGTCACCCCAAGGACGTGGGTACCCCAACTTCAGGGCGTGCCAGGACCCGCTCCCCAGCTCCCAGCCCCCCAACAGAAATTCCAGGGCAGCTTTTGAAGCCCCAAAAGTCCCAGGAAACTCCCCACAGCCCTACAAGCAGCAACAAGCCCGTCAGCCGCAGCGTTCCCAGTTACTCAAAGAGAAACACAACAGCTCTGAGGATTCCCGGGCCAGCAAATTCACACGGGTCCTGAAATCTGGCGCACGCATTTGGGCTTCATACAAAGGGGATGCAAAGCAGCCTCCTCACAGCATCCCTGTCACGTCCTGTTGGACTGGAGCTGCTTTTCATGCAGCTGCCTCAAGAGGAAATTTAATTCATTTCCTAATTAGACACCAGCTATCCCCAGTGCAATGCTCCCAAATGGGGTGGGGAAGGAATCTGCTCCCTGTTATACCCCAAAACCCAGCCCTGGGAGACTCACCCCTGGTTTACAAGGAGGGATGAGCTTTGCTGGCAGGGAGGGCTCTAATTTAGCACTAAATTTGCAAAAGGGAAGCCCTGGGGGCTGGTAGCAAAAGCCTTGCCCTGGCCAAAGCCGCCCCAGCCCGTGCCAGGGCGCTGCGCTGGCAGCTGCTGGTGCTGCTCCATCACGGAGCCGTTTGCATGAAACTTTCTCAAGACACTCCCCAGCAGCTGAAGCCTCCGGAAACACAAGTGGGGGGAGGACGAGCTGTCAGGGCTCCCAGCCGAGCACTGGGGACAGTCCCCATGGTGCAGGGCTCCCGGAAACAGGGGTGGCCCCCATGTTCAACCATCCAGCACCGGGGGTGTAAAACCGTCATCTCGCCGGCTCAGCGCTGCAGAAGGGGTGCACAGATCTGCTCCCCACAGGCTCTGGGGAAGCTCAAAACCCCAGGATTTGCACACCCGGGGTTCTATAGAAAGGAGAAGGGAGCCCAGGGCAACCTCCCCAAAATCTCCTCAGACCATGCCCAGCACTGGGAGCTATGGGGATGTGCCAGCCCCCAGCACAGGGGGGTCCTGAGCGTGCAGGACCCAGCAGGGTTTGGATCCTGCCCCACGGAGGGAGATGTTACACCCTCACTCGGCCCCAAGCAGGTTGCGAGTGCTGCCGGCTCTCCCTGCAGTGTCTCCAGCTCATTAAGCAAATAAAGGCGAGTCCAGCCCAATAAAGCAAACAGGACTCTGACACATGCAAACCTCCCGCTCCGCACAGCGATCCGGGGGAATCCCACCACCCTGGGGCTGGGACAGGGCTGT